GGGCATTAATAACCTGATTGTAAGATGGAAAAGCATCATCGATAAGAATGAAGACTATTTCATTTAATAAATGTTTTGTTTTGATACATAAGTTGTTCGGGTTTTTTCATCTAAAAAAGTGACATCAATTTCTTGACGACCTAATACTTTCAATCTCTCATTGTAAAATCTGCATGTCTAGCCAAGCACCTCCATTTTGCAACTCTTTCCAACACCACTGCCATATATTTCAATTTGTAAATTACCCAAAGGTAAAATATTGTTTTAACCGAAATAAATTTCAATAGACTGGAGGCCCTCTATTGATTGGACTTTCATAAAGTGTGATTATTGTATATAACCTACTGTAGTTGGATTAAAACAATGGCTTCTCATCCGGTGGGTCGTAAAGACGCGCAGTCATGGGTCGCCGCGTCCGGGACAATTGTGACTGCCCTAAACTAACGAATCATCACACTGCATATATGGGCCTTTTGCTGTTGTGCCAAATAACTGAGAAACCCTGGAATAAAATATTAATATATTCAATGAAAATGTATGAAATGTATTTATTAAAAAGAACATTATGAAAATACAATCATACTTTGCAATTGCAGAAAATTAACTTTAAATCGTAAGTGTTCTTACCTCGGGACTGCGTGAATAATGTTTTTGTTCGTGAAAATATCACTATTCAAGCGGAGAATTAGAATGTTTAAATTTCATGGGTAATTCTTGTTTTTCTGTGCTGCTTCGTTTTACGAGTTTTTTATCATTTGGGCTCCAGAGGCATCCAGTTCACGAAGCGAAAGGAGAACGCGCTCTCCTCTTCGATTGAGGAAGGTGCGTACTGTAAATCACACACACACACATATATATATATATTCCCCCCCCCCCTTTGTCACTCAGTGCTATTTCGTTTCTCTCTTCCCCGTTTTCCTATTTTTATTTATAGTTGGGCTTTCATAATAATGTTGCTGGAATAAGTTGTAATAAAGAAAAAGCCAGTTTTAAATACCAATTTATGCCCCATTCTCCGGTGGCCCAGCCGTAAGTTCGAGAGCTTATATTGCCAAAATTCGGGATACGATCCCAGCGATTGGCACAATGCAGCCTTGTGTTTAAAAGCAGACAAACCTATTGTTTTTATAAAAACGAAATGCTGTAACGTATCAAAAACGATACAAGACACGTATAAACTAGTTCCTCCACCAAGAGAATGTAAAGTGTTTAAACAGAACTTCCAAACTTATAAAAGTATTAAGAATAATTACAGTTCATCAGTGATAAGTAAAGTCGTTTCGTTCTTAATTGGATTTTTTTTTATGTTTGTAATCAACATATACTCAAAAATATTATGAAAATTATTATAATTGTTGATGGCCACGAAACTTTATGAAGTACAGTGGCGTAAAAGCGCTATTTTTTCTAGGTCAGTCCAAAAACAATTGAGTAAATAGGTATGATCTATACATTAATTTTTTTAAAGTAGCTAACGTACTTATAGTATACACTGGTGATATTTTGTGCAGTTATTTTACCTAGAAATATAATTACATTGATCGAAATGATCGTATTACAAAATTCTAGAGAAATATTGTTATAACCTTTGTTGTTGTTCCAGCAAAATGAATTAGAGAAGTTGTTTTCATTTTTTGAGGTTAAATTTTTAATCTTTGATGGTTAACGTAAACAACAAAACACATCATTTTATTATGCATGGTTTCTTTTATAATACTTCAACATCAATAACTGCTTCTTCCAGTATAATAAACAGTTTTCTTCACGTCACTGAAGGTTACGGTAGTGAGCAACAAAGTTGAACAAATATTGCAGTGAGCTAAAGTAAACTAATTGTCAGTGGTTTGGTTCAGTGAAGTGGGTTAAAGTAAAATCACTGCAAGTGGTTTGTTTCAGTGCAGTGAGTTAGTTAAAGTAAAATCATTGCGGGTGGTTTGGTTCAGTGCAGTTAGTTAAAGTAAAATCATTGTTGGTGGTTTGGTTCAGTGCAGTTAGTTAAAGTAAACTCATTGTTAGTGGTTTGGTTCAGTGCTGTGAGTTAAAGTAAACTCATTGTTGGTGGTTTGGTTCAGCGCAGTGAGTTAAAGTAAAATCATTGCTGCTGGTTTGGTTCAGTGCTGTGAGTTAAAGTAAACTCATTGTTGGTGGTTTGGTTCAGTGCAGTTAGTTAAAGTAAACTCATTGTTAGTGGTTTGATTCAGTGCAGTGAGTTAAAGTAAACTCATTGTTGGTGGTTTGGTTCAGTGCAGTTAGTTAAAGTAAACTCATTGTTGGTGGTTTGGTTCAGTGCAGTGGGTTAAAGTAAAATAATTGCGGGTGGTTTGGTTTTATTAGCTTCAGTGAATAAAAACAGACCTATGGGGTGATTGAAGAAAGATATTTACAGTTAGTGAGTTTTAACGATGTGTTTTCTAGAGGTCGCTAGCTGAAAAGTTTTGTTGTGTTATATCATTTTATACAATATGGATTATCGCAAAAAGAAAAGGCAAGACTTGGAATTGAAAACTGCACACTGTTATTTTGTTTTGTGTTAAAATACATTACACATAATAAATTTATATTAATGTTTTATATACAAATATCTATATACGTCTCTTTCAATCACTTCGACACGAAGATCACTGCGACGTTACACATGACACGCGGATATGAAATATTAATGACTCGACCATCTACATGTCGTGGGCTTGCGGACATCTAAAGTTACCAGCAAAATGTAGCACTGTGTTCATAAATTACTGATAAAACAGGAAAAGTACCTAGATATGAAATGTCAATTAAGGCAGAGCAGCATCTTCAGACCAGTGTCGCCTAAGAGATGTAATAACTGGGATAAAAAAATGTATTCGAGCAAAGTGTCGTCAAATTTCGAAATCTTAGAAATGTACTGGTTCTCTAGAATATCCCTACGCTGTAATATCAATTTATTTTCATCTAGACACTGACGTTAGTAGAGCCCATAAAATACATGCTAGCCTCGATTATCGCGAACACTTACGAATGTGTGGAGAAAGCGATGGAATGTATGAAATTTGATACGAATTATATCTAATCGTGCTGTTTTGTTGGCGTCCCTAATTTTGCTTGATATTTAAGTGTATACGTGTATGTTTTCACTGCCGTATATGTATGTGTATTAGCATTTCCTACTGCCTGCATTCGGAATGCGACTAATGAGTATCTCAACAGGCCATTATTGATCACCATGGCAACGGGGAATGAAATAAACCTTGAAGTATAGAGCAGCCGATCACACATCAGCAGTATTGGCTTTCACTTGAAGCCGTAAGTAACACCAGCAAACCTCTGCTCGACTACCACTTCGTACTGTTCAGTCGCGTGACATGACGGCCTCGTGTTGTCATGCATAGTGCCATCTGGACGCGATCAAGTAAAGCTTTGGGTGGTCTTGGCAAGCACGAAATGCGGGTCAAGCGTATTCGAACAGTCAAGTCGGGTGTTAGAGGAAAGGGTAAGTGAGAGAAGTAGTGTAAGCTCGCGCCTGCGGTGAGTCTAGAAGTAGACATTAATACCGAACAAGATAACCTGAAGCGCGTTAGTCATGTCCTAATGTTTGTATATACCTGCAATTGTCAATATGGATGTATTGCTCTTCTAATGTTTGGTTTAGCAATTCAGTTAAAAACAAGTATAGAAACCTTACGAAGTTAATCTAATCTTACACGCAGTTTTAACCAAGCTTTTAAGTATGAAAGATTCGTGCTTTGTGTTACTTCAATCATTCTACTGGATTACTCATCTTCAACCATCATACTGGATTACCCATGTTGAAGTTATCCTACTCCAAATTGCTGCCTTGGGTAAAAAACTTCGGAGGCTTTTAGGTTACTTAAGAAGTTGCATAAACATGCCCAGGGTCGTTCTCATTCTTGACGTAAAGCAGCTCTTTCTACTAAAACAACTGAGTCGTGCTTTCTTCTCTTAAAATGTGAAATTGAACTCTAATTTGTTTCTCGAGGTCGCTGAATTAAATTTGTTCTTGAACAACAAGTACCATTAAGAGTATGTGATCTAAGTAATGTGTAGATGTGTGTTTCACTAGCATCTATGTTGTTTGTAGTTGAGCACAAAGCTACACAATGAGCTATCTGTGCTGTACCCACCACAGGTATCGAAACCCGATTTTTGGCGTCATAAGCCTTCAGATTTGCTGCTGAGCCACTGGTGGAGGATGGTATTTAGGTTTAGCATGCATCCTAAACTTGAAGATTATAATATAAATTGCCTGAAATTACCCTTTTAGGATTTATTTAATTGTTTTTTCTGGAGTTATTAACGGTGTGTGGATATAGTTAAGCTAGTATGCATCGTGGTAAAAACCCGGTTACCTCTAGAAACTTTGGCATTACTTATTGTCACTAAACACACAAACAAGTATCTTGACCAACTGCTAGAAATCACCACTACAATCATCGCATCTGTATGTAACAGAAAACAAAACGTATCTCTCTACACACCAAACTTTCTCAATAAGACTGTATCCCTACTTTACACTACGCTAATCTGATTGGTTACGTTTTATGTGGTGATGTGTTTTTACATTACCCTAAGTTTGTCTATGCTAATGTATCCCATCTTTACCCTGATAGATAACTTATGTAGACGTACGAGATTTTCTGTGGTAACATATCCTTACCCTACTTTACAGCATGTTAACCTAATAAATTATGCATAGACGTACGAAATTCTCTGTGATAACATATCCCTACCCTACTTTACAGCATGTTAACTGATAAATTATGTATAGATGTACGAAATTCTCTGTGGTAACATATACCTACCCTACTTTACACCATGGTAACTTATAAATTATGTATAGATGTACGAAATTCTCTGTGATAACATATACCTACCTTACTTTACAGCATGTTAACTGATAAATTATGTATAGATGTACGAATTATCTGTGATAACATATACCTACCTACTTACAGCATGTACCTAATAAAATTTATGTATTAGATATGTACGAA